ATCCCCGTTATTGAAAAAAGTTATATCGCGATACATATTGATATTGAATTATTGTCCAGCCCTAGTCCAAGGTTAAGAATTATGCTATTAGTTACTTAAATATAAAATGTTTTTCTCTAACAACATTACAATAGTGAAAGACGACTTCACTTACCGATCACATCTCTTGCGCGGTGGGCTGTTGGACTCATGAAAAATAATCACATAGCTTGTATTCACCAAAACTGATTTACTGAAGTGAAAACACGGACGGAATTGGCGTTAGCGCGAGTGCCGCTTGCTGCGAGGCGGGAGCAACGAGCCGGCAGAGGATTGCGCAGCCTTCCTCGAATAGTTATGTTCACGATTTCTGATTTACTTTACGTATACTGCGTAAGGGGGGGGGGGCTGTGATTGGATGATGACAGGTATCGGTGATCATTCTCAAGTGATCAGCACTGCTGCTGTTGTATCAGTCAGTGGTTAGATCAGCGTATCTCATTTGATTAAAAGATAAATTAAATTGATTTATGCCTTCATTTGCGCTGTACTGTAAATTAAAACTAACTGAAATTTCTAGAAAATTCACATAGGCCAAGACATTTCAATAGGCTATTGAACTAAGTGTGCCTGTAAAAGGCTATTAGAGTTATAGTTTCATGAAAATAGTTGCAGTCTTCTTAACAACTTCTACAATATAGCTATGAAGACAATTAAATTATTTACTTATAAAAAAATAAAAAATAATTAATCCATTGATGTGCATTAGATGATGAATTGAATAGTCACCTCTACTATTGTAGGTTATGTTTTAGCCATCAGAAAATAATTAATGAGGAATTATGAGAGGTTATGCTATTACACATACATTTCTAACATGTAAATTATTGAAGCCAAATACTTACATTTCCCGAAGCCGTTTAGCTGTAGTACAGTATTCATAAGCTTAATCGTGAAGTATACAGTTGCCCCACTTTTAACTCTCTCTTTATATTACCCTTATTGTAGATGGATGCACAGAGGAAGACAAGAGTAAGAAGTGCAGTGTGGGAGTACTACACAACCAACACCAGTGAGGGCAGTTTTTGTCAGAGCCCTTGTTATTCTTAATTTTCATTTTTACACCAGACATATATATATATCGGTTCAAAATATCGGTTATCGGTCTACTTGATCTGTAATAATCGGTATCGGCCCTGAAAAACACATATCGGTCGACCCCTACTATAGAGTAGTATTGCATTCTTCATATCACAGAAGAGTCTTTAGTTTTATCAGATTTATAAAAGACAGATACAGATTTGCGCTTCTCTCCGAAAACAGTCGAGCTCCTTGAAGCGTGCCATGGGTGGAGCTAAATAGTCACGAGCAAACACAGCTTTGCGTAACGATCGTCTGCAAGCTGTGACATCGACATAAATAAACAGGAACAAAAACTTTGACTTTAAATTTAAGAAACATTTGTCACCAAAATGCTGGGAACAAAAACACACTTGCACTCGTTATTTGAAAAGTTGGCCATGTTTAGCATGAGAATCCAACTCTTTAACAGTATGAAGAATGCATGAAATGGCATTAGACCTCCCCTTTAAGTCTTTCAGAAAATGTAACCTCATTTCTAGGAGACACATGACAAATGAAAATATGTACTAAAATTGGCTTAAAATATAAAACATGTTGTCCTTCAACTTGATGGAATCATAGTCTGAAGCTATCCATACACTATTATGCGGGAAAGGACCCTATATTGTATGACAAAGATGTGAGAAACTATGCCTGTCCACTCACCTGACACTATGACCCTGTACTCTGAACGCCTGGATGGAGGGCCATATCTGCCTCTGGGAGCTCCAACTCCACCACCTCCACCTCCACCTCTTCCACCTCCCCTGCCACTCCTTGGGAACTCCACTCGAAGACGATAGCCATCATAGTCATAGCCATCTCGTCCATATACAGCATCCTCTGCATCTCTGTAGACAGAAAATAATCAGTGCACAGAAAGGTGATGCATTTATAATCCTCATGGTTTACACGCAAGGCCGTTTGCGCCTGCGCAGAATGTTTTTACTCACAATCCAATGGTATTTACAAATTTAGAGCGTTTCATTAAAAAAAAAATATATATACTGCATACTTAGGCGTTTTGTATACTTCTCAGAATTGTAGTTTAGCTGATATAGACATTACGTAAACTTCCCTACTTCAGTGTTATAAGTTAATATTGTTGACGGATTTGCGCGCCTCATATGAGCACTTAATTTAGAAGACTAGTATTTGCGTATAAAACAGGTATTTATATCATATAATAAGTTAAAGAGAGAACACCGTCATGCTGACTATTCATTTAGCAACACATATACACGTAGTTTTGAGCTAGGCTAGGTTTGTTAGGTTTGCGTGTTTAACTTAACGTTACCTCGGGTCCTCGAACTCCACGAATGCAAACGGCGGACCTCCTCTTCTGTTTTTAAGGTCGATATCCCGAATGGCTCCGTATTTATAAAACACATCCTCTACGTCCTTGGTGCGAATATCGGGGGGTAAATTACCTACGTAAATCCGACAGTCGTTGTTCCCTGCAGGCCCTCGAATTACACCGCCAGACATTTTCAACCAGAAGTTACGTTACACAAACGACGTTGAGAATTTGTAACGATTCGTTAGGTGATATGAAAGAAATCCTTTAGCACTGCTGTTCACCAACTAATGGTTATATTCAAAACGTTTATCTACCAAAGAAAAACAATACGATCCCTCCCAATATGGCGCCGTCCCTTTCTCCCTCAACAACACACGCTCGCGACGCTCCGCGGAAGGATACGTGCTTGGCAGTACTGCGGCAGCTTTCACGAGTTAAATTGAAAACGTGTCATGTTTATTTTGCATTAAAACATTATGTGATCTGCATTTGATTGACATCACAAACCGTGTATCAGCATCAATGTTACACCCATTCAACCTGATCTAAGGTGGCGTAATCCATAAAGTTGTTTTAAACCTGTATGACTTTTTCTTCGTCTGTTAGGCAGAATGTGAGGGACTTGCAGCCTCAGTTACACTTTCATTCTGAAATAGTCTCTCTTTAAAATTAATGAAGGGTCATTAAGACTGTCATAGTGCCTAACATATATTTTTTTCGCCGTCACACTAATTTAAAACAACGATAAAATGATATCGTGTAACATGTCCCTTTTAAAAATGCTTTAGTAATTTGGTGCAATTTTAATGCACCAAACCAGTATGCAGTAGCTACTATCTATATATATACAGTACAGTCAGCTACTATATTATTTTGTACAATGAACAATTTGGATTTTTGGTTATTATTATGGGAATATTCTGGCAAAATATTAAAAACATGAAACTAATCTACTTGTCATACATTCTGTGAATGGAGGAAATACAGCATGAAAAATACTTCCACTTAGTCCCTGGCACATTTGGTTTTTAGTTCAGTTGTAAAACAAACAGCTAAGGCTGAAATGTTGTATACACATCAGGTTTTCACATTTGAAATTCATACAGCTGTAAATAACACATCCTCACATTGTGGCATCATTCCTGGATCTCTATACAAACCCTTTGTAAAGTTAACACACATCAAACCAAACATTCTGAGAAATTATTATAATATGTCATTAAACATAAGCTAATGTTATTTTTTAATACGTTGTTATCTTGCATGTTATTTTTGTTGCAACTATGAACCACAATATGCCTAATAAACCCTCACAAACCTGAGAAAATGAGATCATGACCCAGTGTTACAGTGTCAAAACAAGAAGACATGCAGTGCACTTAATGTGGACAAAGAGAGAAATTACACATCGCACTCAAACAGAATTAATCATTTCACTCATTCATTGTTCAGTACAGCTGCCTTTGTAAATTAAAGCATATAATCCAGATTTCATATCAGTTCGTTTTCATCCGATAACAGACTCTTGGTCTAATAAAAAAAATTTAAATGTACACCACACACATCATCTTTTAATGAATCAGTGTGTTTTTGAACATGCTGAACAAGTGCAGCCATTAGTGTGCATCAAACAAGCAGTGGTTTCTCAGTCACTTTTGGCTTGTTTATCTGCTAGCCTTTGCTTAGCTTCACTCACAGTTTTCAGTAGTGAGAGCACAATAGGTACACACATGGGTAAGAAAAGAGGAATGTAGATGGCGAATTTCTGATCGTCTGGAAAATAAAGAAGATGCAAAAGAGATGGGTCAAAAAAGGCCCTCTCTGAAGCCAAAACGGCCTCCCTGCTGTAATGGAGCGCAAAAGCCAAGTTCCCAGCCTCCAACTCGGCGACAGCAGACTGGAGCGACGTCACTGCACTGGAAACCTGTGCGAGAAATAATAGCAAAATTGTGCATTTTATAATTCCTACTGTTCAGGACAAAACGTTACAGCGGAACTATTTCTTTATGTGATGAACTATGAACATCTGGACCTCCCACCTGCTGTGCGACGTTGTCATTGATGACGATGTTTCCAATCTGGTCGAGGAGCTGAGCGAGCGAGGTGATGGTGGTGCTGGCGGTGGCGATGTTCTCCACACTGCGGCTCCACAGGAGTCGGTCCAGCTCCCAATCAGCCAGTCCAGCGCTGCCTGGACTCTGCAGCACAAAGCCTGTGGGAGGATGCGTACGCTGCACTCCCAGCATGAGCCTGGAAACAGAATAAAGAGAGTGAAATTAAACACTTTCATCTGGGTAGACAGGCATTTTTACTTAAATGTATTCAATTCAAAGTACTAACCGTAATTGTGCCAAGAACACACCCATCACTTTAGCCATATTAATGTTAATATCTACAGGACGTTCAGCTTCAGGTCCGTACATTTCATTCACATTGTACACCTGGGGATGTAGATGACAGATGAAAGAGAAAATATAGGCTTGTTTGCAACATCCAGCACATTCACACTATTTCATATTATTCACAATATTTAATATAAGTACGGAAGCCCTGAACCGCAATGTGAAAAGAAAAAAGAAAAAAAAAAAATCAAGGTGAAACACAGTCTGAGCCATTATATTTTTTTGGTGCATGTAAACATAGCCACTGAGAAAAAACACAATAATCTATGATTAAATGAATATATCTGGACAATACCATAATGCCGCCCCAACGAGGGCTGTGAAAGGCGTTAGAGGGCACCTCCCTTTTGCTGTGGTCTCTGATGTAGAGAGGAGAGTGGTGGGCATCTGGCACATACAGCAGGAAGTTCAAGACAGGGTTAGATGAAGCTGCATTGGAACCTGCATGAAAGAGAATACCAGTATGTGTAAATCTACATCATGGGCTTATACTGTTCATTAAAAGCAGATCACATCAGTTACAGGTCAAATCTTACCTAGTCTGGCCTCAACAGGGTTGATAACATGTGACAGGCTGTCTGCACTGAGTGTATAGGCTGACACACTGTTGTCAAAACGAGGGTTCACACCCAGAACGGCATAATACAGAATCTGAAAAGATCAACCACAAGTGACAAATAGCAGAGGAGAATTTTGGCTGGACAGTATTTCCAAAATATGATATCAAGAATGAGAATTACATATTATATACAAGGTGTATATATATATATATATATATATATATATATATATATACACACACACACACGTACATATACATGTAATACATGTACACACACATACATATAATGATAGTTATGTTTGTTCAATGTTTGCTCAATGGAACTCAGTGGAAAGCTGTTGATATATTAAATAACCACACAGTAATACCTATTTTTTTTATTAAATTTAAATTAATTTAAATGAAAGGAAACAATTAATTTTACTGTATTATTTTGTTCTTGTATTTGAAAGTTGATGAATGCAAACCAAAAAACAAGGAATTCATAAGAAAGGAATGATATATCTGGGATCAGTGAATGAGAACTTCAAATTTAATGTGAAAGTGTGAAGAATATAAATATCAAAAGAAAAGAAATATTAAAAGGCTTAAATCAATACAACTAATATTATGAAATATTAAAATTCTGACTCCAAATGCTGACTGAATGAGTTGCAAAGCTGTTGTAAAATATTCTCTTGCACCACTCCATGTTTCATAATTTCTCTTATGAGTAAAAAAAAGCAGCTCTAATAGTTGTGCAAATTTATCTGTTGTTGCATAAACAGTACAGCAAATTCTCTACAGGTTGACACATTTGTAACCGTTGCAGGGTACAGAATATTCCGTCAGCCCTGTGAGAAGTCACATTTGTTAGAGTCCACACAAACTACAATGTAATTGTTCTAAGGTACCTGAGAGTCCACTGAAAAGTTGGCTATAGGAGCAAGTTTGTTCAATAAAGGCTGAATGTAGCTTTGAACGGCACCCTCGATATCCCAGTGAAGACTGTGCGACTTTGGGTCTGGGTTGAGCAGACTGAATGTGATCTCGTAGCCTAAAAGAAGGCGAAATTAGATTAAGAAAATTCAATGAGTATGCCATTGAGAAAACAAGCCAAAATGAGGGAGAATACTCACCAGGACTGGATTTGATGGCCCTCATGCTGTCTGCCATACTCTCCTTAGTCACTTTGGTCATGCGGACACGGTTGCTCAGAGCAGCTACGATATCCTGGTGACCAAAGGACATGGTGCTTACCACCTGCTCCACTTCCACGTCCAGATTTGATAGGACTTCCTTCAGACTCCAAGAACTTCTAAAGGGAGGGGAACGTAGCAGCACAGTGCGCCGTTGCCCTACGTACGCTTTTACATCCTGAAAGTAAACAGCCAGAATGAGCATATTGAGCTTCAGACGGGATTTCAGTAGGGATGTAACGATTCACTCAACTCACGATTCGATTATTTCACGATTCGATTCGATTTCTTCTTTTAACAAAATGAGATTTAAGACAAATTATAAATTAAATGTGTCCTTTTATTATTGCTTGGACAAAATGCTGTACGTTTCTTTGTGAAACTGAAATATAACACTATAATAATATACTAATATAGCACTTTTCAGCTCATGAAAAATGGGGGCAAAAAACAAAAGTGTTGCGTTTATAATTTTGTTCAGTGTATTTAAATCGATTTTCAACCGGCTCGCGGTTAATCGTTACATCCCTAGATTTCAGTATGGATTTTTTGAAAAGAAAAGAAAACAAAAAAAAAAAAGAAAAATACACGAATGCTCTGAATCTTACCTCTGGCATTAGGGCCGAGGACTCAGGGATCACATACACAACCACAGACCCACAAGAATTCTCAGAGAGCATGTGCAGGGATAGATCTGCCTCTGTGGAATGAGAAGTAAACAACTCAGGGATAGATAAGTACCATTAGAGAAATTAATTTACTTTTAAAAATGAGTGATAAAACCTACATTTTTGTTTGGAATAACTCAAAAAATACTATCAATATTATTTCGATTTTTTAAATCTATATTTCAGGGACAATACACGTTAATAATGCACAGAATCAATGTAAAATGTGCCAAATTTAGCCAGAATGAATAATAAATCCCTATAAAATGTTCACAATTTTGATTCAAAAACAACCTTTTTTATTTTTAGAGAAACCACAATAACTAATTAGTTCTGTTGGGAGTCTATTCAAGTTATGGGTTCCTCTAAAAGCAAAAGAGAATGGACTACTTGATTGGACTTACTGATTATTTAATAAATAATTCAATAACCGACTAAATAATCATGTGAATGTTGTTTTTTTATTTCAAAAACTGTTGTTGAGTGTTACATTTTCTATTATTTGTCTGTACAAAACACTGATGAATCCCCATAAAAAAAATGTGTTTATTTGTATACCCTAAATAAATAATTAGCAATAAGAAATCCTCTCA